TCAAGGTAGTTTTCTCACTAATTATTTTTTGTCCAACATTATGACTGGCATTCCCTAGACCCGCTAGCCAGAAATCAACATACGAAGCACAAGGTATTTGGTTCCTTCATCTGCTCAGGTGTAAAATAAAGATGGAATCTTTCTCCGTCCCTTATAGTTCCTCCAAAGAAATTGTCTTTGTCCTCAAAGTCAGGATGACAGTTCTGGGGATTCAGTCTCCAGTGTCCCTCAGAGGCTCAGAAGCCACGTTAGTTCTCTGGCTCTCAAATTCAATCTGTAGATAATTTAAGATGGTTTAGCTTGATGGTTTTGTTTACTGCTAATATATAAATTGAAGTAAACCCACATTCCTTTAGGACAAACCCATTTATTACCTTTACCTGGCCTCTGTAAACTTCAAAGGCTGCCCCTTGAGAGTGTAAAAAGAAATGAACATTTGCGTGATATTTCAAAGTTATTTTAATGCAGGCTCTAAAGACCTGATGAGCTCTGTTGCACTGACTGCATAGGACAATCACTAGAATGTGAGACAGCAAACTGTTGTGCAGGCCTGGCACAGCCAAGAGTAAAGAGCCTTTGCACCTACTGCTTTTGAAGTGTGTTGATCAAAGACCTTCTAGCTGTGACGTGTAGAACATGGGAATCACTTCAAAGAGAGCCATTGGCCAAAGTACTTTGAAAGTGGGAAGATGGCAAATCAATATCAATTGCTGATGCCTAATACCACTGGGCTAACTAAGTGCTATAGTGAAGGGATTGTTTAACTTGCTATCAGATATTCCTAATGCAGATACAGATTTGTCAGTTAAACTCACTCAGATAAACTCTTTGTGGGCTGGAAATAGGACACCATATGTATATAGAGAGAGGTTCTTTCATCCTGGGATCATAAAGTGCTTTTCCACATTAATGTAATAACACCTCAACTGGCTCATCTGCAGGGATTGAATCTGGAGTTCTGTATCCTAATCCCACAGCCACTCTTACTTCAGCTAAACAGCAGCTCTGTTAGTTCATGCCCAAAGACATGTGGTCTTGCACACTCTGTTAGTATTGATTACATTAATTAAGCTTCACGACTACCTTGTAATACGGGCGAGTGATATTATTCCTGTTCCACATAGACAAAGCCCTTCAGTTTTTAGTTTTTACTCATTTTTACAGAGAAAAATGATCAGGTTTTGAACGTTATTTGTTTTTTGCATTTTTCACATGTCTTGGGAACCACTCGATTATATGAAAATACTGATGGTTAGGAAAATCCATTCCATTTCATAAGGTAGATGTATTTCTGGTAGTATATTAGTAAAAGGATAAAAGCTATTTCAAGTAAGGCAAGGTAGAGGAAGACTCTCTCGCTCTCTCTCAAAGACTTACCGGGTGTTGCTTGGGTCCTTTGGGGCAGGGAGCTGGCAGTGGGGAGGAAGGGGGAAGGAGTCACGGCAGGGCCTTGGGGATGTGGGGTAGGGAGGCAGGACAGAAGGCTTGGAGGTATGCAAGAGTGAGTGGGGTCCCATCTGAAGGGGCTTTCCCTCCCTCCCTTCCCCCGAGTACTGCAGCTAACAGCTGGGGAGAGGAGTTTGGAGCAGGCAGACTATTTACACAGTTTGGCGGCAGGCAAAATGGCAAGTCTCAGCCCCAACTTGCAACTCTCTTGGTGGTGTGGCTGCCCCCAGTGGTCACGTGGCAACATAGCTCTCCCATGTGCTTGCTTGCCCCAGTGGTCACTCTGCAGTATCACATCCATCTGAATAGCAGCCCCCTGCCTTTCCATGGTTCTAGAAAACAGTCCCGTTCCCAGCCCTGGCCTGAGCCCTTTTGGCACCCTGGGCCCGGGCGTGCGGCGCCGCCCCCGGGTGCAGAGCGCATGCGCAGGCCTGCCCGTGGGGCACGGGCCCGCCCACCCCAGGGTACGCTGGCCTGCCCCCAGGGCCCATGGCGTGTGCGCTGCCCAGCCCGGCCAGCGCTGCTAGCGCACGCGCCGGGCCATGCATGGCCCCACAGCCGTAGGGGCAAGGGCGCTGCTTTCTGGCGCTGGGGAGCCGGGCACGCAGCTCCTGATGGCAGCTGTAAGGGATGCCGCGCACCCCTTACAGCTGCCATCAGGCGCCCCCCCGTGGGTTGGCGCCCAGGGCAGCTGCCCGGCTCGCCCATGCCTCCATCTGGCCCTGCCTGTTCTCAGCATTTCCCATTTTCCTAGCACAACCAAACCCTGACCTTGCTTTATGTTAGAGTAAGAAGAAGCTGCATTCCAAATTTGGTGGCCCTAGCCCTTACTGTTTAGGAGGAGTTTTTGAACAAACTGACTCTCAGACTGTAGAGTGACTCACAGATGTGCTCCTCTAAAATATACATAGATATAGATATTGTATGATGCTGGGTGCATCGCTGGATGTGTGCATTAAGTCCAAAGATGCCTTGTGATAAGAGGAAGAGGGGAATAGAGTCTCAAAGACAGAAATTCTGATCCGATTAAAGGATGAAAGCCTCAATAACAATTGTTAAAAAGCAAAGGCCCTGGTGCTGCTTCTGGCTTGAAGGAAGAAGAGAGGAGTTGTCTGCATTGCACCTAGCTGGCTAACTTCATCTGGAGCAGCTGCTGCTGGGAAAGAGGAATCAGAGGTGAACTTGGGGCAATACAGCCTTCGCTTGTTTCTGAGGAGGAAGAAGCAGTAGAACTCTGATAATCTGAACAGCACAGAGTCTGCAGGTGAACGCCACAAATGGACAAAAGTGACTGCAAAACTACACAGGCAAATTCTAAGCAAAATGGTCTCTTTCTAAAAAGATTTGCCAAAAAGAGCATCCTGGGAAACAGGGATGCCCAAAGAGACTCCGAAAATAAAAACAAAAACAAAACTAGGAGTAGGGACATAACTAAGGGGCCCAAAAAGTAAAATAGGAACAAACCACCTGGAGCAAGGTCAGGGGGAGGGGAGGAAGAGAAGCTGATCACTAAATCAATTGAAACTCAGTTCTACTTAGGGTTTACACATCATTGGAAAGGAACTAGAGACTTTCAGCCAAAAGATCTATGTTTTGCCTTTCTGCACCTATCATATCAAACCTGTCTGATGGACTGTGCAAGATTTGAGTACACTGAAGGCAGCAAGGAAAGCTACCTGTATCAGCTGCAACCTATTTTTTCTTCAGTCCTGAAACCTTTTAAATC